TTCCCGAAATGTTAAAATGTATTTTAGTGATACAATCACGAGAGAGTAAGATTTCCATATTTAATGTATTATACTATTTGTCATGACATATGAAACAGCTGGCAACACACACATACAAAAACATTCGAACAATCTCGAATGTTCTGTCAGTAGTGCTCGTCCTGCTCGCCACGCTGCCGAATGCATGCGCCGAACAAGGTACAGAATACTACAGTGTGCAGAGGTGCAGAGCATGGGAGCATGCGTCACGATAAATTGTCATATATGATACTGTATGATACGATACACTGCATATGAGCATATGTACACATACATATACATTACATACTTTAAATAAAAAAACTGAAATGTATTTATTATGTACGTTTCGACAATAGATACGTGTCGTCTTTCAGCAGTTATCACCAAGGTGAACACATAAAAAGTTCTCTTAACTCAAACTACATGAAAATCTTTTATCCTTAATTTGTTGTGTTCTTTTTGGTATGATCTGCTGAATGATTAAGCATATATTGTGTCAAAACGTACATAATTTTATATTACTACTTCATTTTAGACTTATTGGTGACTTGGTCACTAACTTTTCACAAACATATTCCAACGTTGAACAAAAAATCTCTGCATACAGTAGATTGATAGACTTTATTTGAAGCTATATGTTTATTAATTATATATTTAAATAATTTAATATTTATATATTTAATTTATATATTTAATATAATTAATTTATATTTCCAATTATATATATATATATATATATATATATATATATACCCACATCTGTGTTTTTTGTGTGTATACCCACATTTACGTTTTTTCAATGTCATATACTAATATTTACCATTTAGTTGAAAATAATAATGATTGTTGAATGTAGAACTGCTTCAAATAAAATGATGATCCTCAACTCCCACAGTTAACAGTTTAATTATCCTTTTAACAAATATTAAAATATGTTGCAAATTTATTTCCAATAGCTCAATTTATTTTAATGCCAAGGGTTATACAATTTTTTAGTCATATCTGTAGATGTGGATGTA